CACACAGTCATGTCCGTGTGTGCAGAGGTATTCACACTTGTGCGGAGACGCGGCTCCAAACGCTTGTGCCGGATGCATCGGCCACCTGTGCGCACGTGTGCACCACTAGAGGGCGCCTTAAGGTATCGCAGCAATAGTGCAAAACCCAACCCTCGCCCTCCTGCCCCAGCTTGGGGGTGCTGGTGTAGCAGGACTGGCTAGAGGGGTACCCCACACATCCTCCTTGCTTGGGCAGTGCCAGCTGAAGCTCAGTATCGAGGACCCCACTGTCGCCGCATCAGCCACCCGAAGGGTGTCCACGGGTCTCAGTCCCCAGTTTGCCCCGAGCGGGGTGCAGATAAACAGGGAGCCGTCTCCTCCATGATTCCCCTTCAAAGATGCCCCGGAAGCAGAGGGACTCAAACAGGCAGCTCAAAGGCCCGGGGTGTTCGGGAATCCCTGCGCAGTCAGGGTGGGTACCCCTGGGGGGAGGGGCTCCATTCATTTGTGGCTTTCATCCATAGGTAGTTTGACCCCCATCTTGCCCCTGCCAGCTGGTCTTCAACAGTCAAGGAGCCAGAGCTCCTCTGTCCCAAGCGAGGGTCACGAGGGAAGGCCATGGGCAGGACTTGGTTTGGAGGAGGACTGCGGAACTCTGCCTGGCTGGCCCCACCTGCCTGTCACTGCAGTGGGCGGGGCGTCAGAGGACGTCAGGGGGCAACAACTGTAAACTTACTACTCGGCCCTGGAATTGGGTAAGGAGTGGGATGGGTTTGACAGGGCCTGGAGGAACTTTCTAGAAGCTGAGGTTCATACGTGAGACCCGCCTTTTCCTACCTCCTTATGCGCATCACAGGCAGAGCCCCTGACCCTCCAGGCACTGGGCCACCTCTGGCCTTCCCTACTTGGGAGAGTCCTCCCAGAAAAGACGGCCCAGCCTGGGACCTCTAGGCCACACCAGGGGGCACCTAAACCCTGAGTCAGCCCCACAGTCACCCTTCTGGAAAGGGGGAAGGTGCCATTTTATTTCAGGGACTATTTTGTAGGCCCTCGAATGCATGCATCCTGGCAAGGACAGCAGGATGGTCATTTTAGAATTAAAGACAACCTGGGACGTGTGGTCGCCGTACCCATAAGCTAGGCGTGGGCACGGAACAGGCAGCTTTGGTTTGAATCAGCACTCAAACTTCTCTCCAAGCTCAGCGGGGCCGAGAGGGGGGAGCAGCAAGGATGCCGGCCCCTACCTGGCTTGGGGACGTCCGTGTGCAGTGAGGAGACCCCAGGTGTGGTCATCCCAGGGGATGGCCATGCCTCAGTTCCTCCAGTGCCTCCCACAGATTTCAAAACATCCCCACGTGGTCATCCCAGGGGATGGCCATGCCTCAGTTCCTCCCACAGATTTCAAAACATCCCCAGAACTGCCTGGCCCCAGCACCCCCAGAGTTACATTCATCAGTTAAGATTCAGTTTTGTTTTGTTTTTTTAAAGTAGATGTCAGCCCCCTCTCCCCAAGTCCCAGAAAGCTAAAACCCTGTCCCAGCTGCCTGGCTCTGAGGAGGGGCCATCCCAGGCCATGCCCCCTGGGGCATCGCTCTAGCCCTCCCTCACCGCCTGAGCTGTGGCAATCTGATGATGGAAGCTACATTCACACAGGGAGAGTTGGTGTGCAAGGCCAAAGCCACATGAGGTGGGGTGGGGGACCACGAGGGCAGTGGCCCTGGCATGGTCCACCCTGATGGTGTGAAGGGCAGGGCCACGGCCCCCCACCCACACCCCCATGGGGCCAGGAGTTGGAAGGCTTGGGCCCGGAAGACATTGCATGGTGCCTCCCTCCATGGCTGGGAGGAGGCAGCCTCCTAGTTCATGGCTGAGATGTGGGCGCCAGGCTCGGAGGGAGGGGTGGCACTTAGGCACCTCCGGACCTGGAAGGCAGACGGGCATGGGGGAATCACATGAGGGAGGGCCCAGAGACAGACTCCTCTCCTGGGCCCCAAGCCCGGCCCTGGGGGCAGCAAGTCAAAGGCTGGCCAGGGAGGGGAGCTGGCGGGAGGTCAGACAGCGGTGACATGAAAGACAAAACAGATGGGATGCAGAGGGAGGCTCCCTTCCAGGGGAATGGGGGCTGCGGAGAGCGGAGAGCGGGGGTGGGGGTGGGGGTGGGGGCACAGCTCCAGCGTCTCCCTGGCCAAGAGTGGTGTGGCCGTAGGAAGAGCAGGAGCAAATGGACCGGGGCCGGAGGGGATGTTTGGGCAAGAGGAAGTGGCAAGGGCAGGCTAAGGACTTTCCTCTCCCACCCCTGCAGGGACAGCAGTGACAGTGGGGGTGGGGGAATCAGCCCTGAGCTCCCATCAACAGAATGCGAGGTGACAAATGAGATGCAGACAGGGACAGCAGAGGGATGACGTGGCCAGCATCACACTGCCCCCTGCTGGGTCGGGTCATACCTTCCTCGTCGGATGTTTCTTCAGGAGACAAGCAAAGGACAGGCAGAGAGAGGAAGGAAAAGAGGCCATTTGCGACCTCCTCCTCTCAGGGAGGGGCCTTCAGTTCTCATGAGACCCCCTGCCCCGGGGCCTGGACACTAAGGACAGGCCCAGGGAGAGATACTGGGTTTGAGTCTTGATTCTGCAACTCACTCACTGCGTGACCCTGGGCCCTAGGCCCCTCCTTAGCACACTGAGGGGGTCAGACCAGCTCCAGGGCCCCGACTCAGGTGCCCCCCGTCGGCTGGGTGGGGCCTAGAGAGGGAGGACGCGGCCCCGGCTTGGGCAGCGCTGCTCAGCAGCTCTGTGGCTGGATCACACCGAGGCTCAGTGGGGCCCAATCGTCTCATTTTTCAAGGGAAGCTGGAAATCAGCATTGTTCATGTCAAATCTCTGAGTTTTTAAAATGTGAGCAACTACTTTTTTAAAATGTTAAAGCACGGCCCTCTGGCTGGCTTGGACCATGATGTGTGAGCTCTGACTTAGCTAATTGCTCAGACAGGCCCCCTCCGCTCCAACAGCCTGGGGTTCTGATAATCCCCAGGACACGAGGGGATGCAGGGGGAGGCGTCTCTTACTTAAATCCCCAGCCTGTGCCGCCCAGGACGATGGCTGCAACCAGGACAGCCCCGGCAATGGAGCCAATGATGATGTTGGTGCCGCTGGGACCTGAGGGGGAGGCCAGGGCTCGGTTGGCAGGGACAGGCATGGCAAACAGAGAAGACAGAGCCCCCCCCTCGGCCAGTGCCAGCCTCACCCTTATATTTCTCCGTCTCCCCCGTGGGCGGAGACGTCGGCAGGGGGTTGTGAATACTGCAGTCTTTGCCCGTCCAATCTGGCTGGCAGATGCACTTCCCTTCGTTGCTGCAGACCTAGAGGGGGGGTAGGGCCAGTCACGGTAAGCAGGGCCCTGTGCCCTCTGGTAAGGCTCTCCTGCCATCCCAGGCCTCCAGGCACCCACCCCGTGGTGGGAGCAGATGCGGCGCTCCCCACTGCCCGGGCAGGTGCTGAAGTTGAAAGCAGAGGCTGGCAGGCAGCGGTGATCCAGGCACAGCATGTTGGGCCCACAGGCTGTGCCGTCCTCCACGTAGCTCAGGTCTGAGCCATCGGCCAGCTGCACATGGCCACCCCTGGGGAAACAGCATAGCCAGCCTCCGCACATGCCCCTACCCCATCACAGCTGCAGCCGCCCTTCCCCAGCCAGGGTCCCAGCCAGCACCTGCAGTCTAGCTCCTTGCCCTGGTGGTAGAAGGTGACACTGCTGATGTCTCCTCCCAGGTCCCCCAGCCGAGGCGCTCCGGAGATATTGACGCAGAGGAGGAAGCCACAGAGCACGTCCCTGGTGGGTGGTGCGGAGACAGTGAGTCCCGTCTGACCTCTGATCCAACTTGAATTTGCCTTCTCCCCACGCCCTGATTTTTTACATATTCTCCCATCGGGACTCACAGGCATATCCTAGAACAGTGATGGCGAACCTTTTGAGCTCGGCGTGTCAGCATTTTGAAAAACCCTAACTTAACTCTGGTGCCGTGTCACATATAATTTTTTGATTTTTGAGCTCGGCGTGTCAGCATTTTGAAAAACCCTAACTTAACTCTGGTGCCGTGTCACATATAGAAATTTTTTGATATTTGCAACCACAGTAAAACAAAGACTTATATTTTTGCTACTTATTTTATATATTTAAATGCCATTTAACAAAGAAAAATAAACCCAGAAAATGAGTTCGCGTGTCACCTCTGACACGCGTGTCATAGGTTCGCCATCACTGTCCTAGAAGAACCTACTGTTCCATCTCTGAAAACAAACAAGCAAACAAAAAAAAACCACAAAACCAAATAACCCCCGGCCCCAGAGCTGGGGAGACTCAGCCAGGAGCCTTGGCAACTCACTGCTTATTGCACTGGACCCAGCCGGATCCCTTGCGCCCACAGTTGCCACGCTCGGTCCCCTCCACGTTCAGCTTCTCATAGCAGAAGCGATCGGCAGCCACTGTGAGACGGTGATGCCAGGTGTCACCCCAGTCACAGAGCCCACCCAGCACCTCAGGTCTGCACCTCCAACACGATGGCTGACCCCCGGTCCGACTGGGACCCCGAGAGCCTGGGGAGCCACACCTTTGGTGGAGGGCGTATTTAGCCAGAACCTGCCCCCTCTGCAGACTCTTGGTTCTGGGTCCTCCAGACTCCCCTCTCCCACTCCTAGCCAGACCCACCGTGGCCCCACAGGGCTTGGCACTGCCGGTCCCGGGTTTTGCATCGACCTCCGTAGCAGCGGCCCTAAGGGATTACAAGAGACAAAAGGGACTGACACGATGCCTGGTCAGAGCGGAGACAACAAACTGTACTGAGCCCGAAGCTCCAAGGGGGAGGAGCCCCCCACCATCATACCTGTTCATGATCACAGTAGTAACCGTCCAGTTTGTGTAGGTTGGGGGGACACTGCAGAGAGAGGGGCTGGACTGAGCAGAGCACCCCAGGACTGAGAGGCGAGGCTGGCCCCAGGGAGGAAGGAAGGGGTGGCCTAATGCCCCCCAAGTGGGGCTCATGTTCAGGGTTCTTCCACGTCAAGAACAAGGAAAGGTCTGGATTGGAACCCAGATGGCACAGGTGGCAAGTCCCGCAGCCTCTCCGGTCTCCCTGTGTCCTGCACCCACTTCCCAGGGCTGGGGAACTAAATGCCTGGCGCACAAGAAGGACTTGAGAGATGTTAACTAATATTACCGCCCACTCCGATCCCTAGCACACACCAGCACCGCTGCAGGCGCTGGGAACACCAACCAGACCACAAATACTGGTTTATAATGGAAAGAGTACAGCCAGGAGGCACGAACAACCCGTTTCTCAGATGAGGAAACTGAGGCTAATCAGCGGCGGCGACGCCAGCAATGGAACAGAGGGGTGCGGAGGACAGTCGTCGCCCCGACACAAAACGACAGGATGAGGGGTTGCCTCGCCCCGGGTTCTGCTGGGCCAGGCGGACCTGACTAGAGTCGCCAGTGCAGGTCTCCGCGATGTCGCACTCATTCACGGCCTCTCGGCAGGACACACCCCGCGGCTCGTACTAAGGAAAGAAAGGATGCGTTTCAGGGCTCCGGCAGGGATGGCCCCCCTCCCCAGGATCCTGCCCCCCCAGATCTGTACCCCCACCCTCACGGCTCTTCTCGCCCCGCCCCACTCAGAGCCGCTCCCAGGCCAGATCTCGGCTCCGCCCCTCCCACTCCTCGCAGCCCCGCCTTCCACAGACCGCACGCCCCGCCCTTCTCCGTCCCCATTGGCGCTTTTTCGCGCCAAGCCCCGCCCATTCAGTTTGCCCGCCTCCAGCTGCTCCTCCGCTCTAAATCCCACCCCTTATCCGATCGTCAGCAGCGGGGCCCCTCCCGGTCCCGCCCCCTTCCCCCTCACCTTGCAGCGGCGACAGCAGAGCCCGTCGCTGCACATGGCGTCGTGAGTCAGGGTGCACTTCTTGCAACAGTTCCCGCCCGCTCGGCTGCACTCCTGAGGGACGCGGGGAGAAGGGCAGGGAGCCCGGCGAGCCCGGACGCTCCCCACCTAGGTCCTCCCTGGCGCCCAGCCCCGAGTTCCCCGGCTGCCCTCGGGCACAGGCCGCTCACCTGCACAGAACCGCAATCGCACTCCTCCCCTGCCTCCACGAAGCCGTTTCCGCACTCAGGGGGGTCCAGCAGCTGGACGGGACGGTGTGTCAGGAGTCGGACTGGGACCCGCCCCGAGCCTCGCTCCCACGTTCCCGCCCGTGGGCTGGTACCTTGAGGGGCTTGTTGAAGAGGCAGCTCCCGCCGCCCTCCTGCAGAAACTGGTTGTACTCATCGATGCTGCAGCGCGAGAACTTGCGGGGCAGGTAGAACCTGGGCGGGCATGGGGGGCTGATGCCATGGGTCCCGGCCCGCGCCTTCCCTTCCAGCCCACTCTTCAGCCCCTTCTCAAGATTGGGGATGGGCTGCACCGGGGACTCGGTCACCCCCTCGCGGAGGCTGAGGACCTACGTGCACGGAGACTGCACAGAAATCCTCCCTCCTGCCGGTCCCCTTCCTGCAAGGCCTCCGAGAGTCAGAAGTTGCAGCGCCAGGAGGGAACGAGGCTTTGGCGCCGCCCAGTGGCGACAGTGGGCACTACAGCCTGGTTAGTTTTGGTGTCTCGCAGGGAATCTGGGTCCCCCTGTGCAGTGTCCCACAGAAAACTGGGTTTCTTGGACTCCTGAGTGGTCCCGACAGCTGGACCTCTTGAGGCCACCAAGTCCAGACTGTCACCCAGTGCTCTTCTGGGATTCTCCTCGTCCAAAGCCTTCCCCTGATTTGTTCCCCAAAACTCACCCAGTGTCCTCCATGATGCAGCCCAGCCAGTTGTCCGGACACTTGCAGTCCCCTAAGAGGTGAGCCAGGTGTATGTAAAGGAAGGCGGACAACCACCTCCCCCCCGCGCCCCCACGGACACCCTTTTCACTTCTGGAACTGCTGTGGGGGTCTGGGCTGGTTATGGGGCCATAGGGGGTCTTCCTTGATACCTGCTGAGCTCCGGTGTTTATTCCACATCATGCCCAGGTTTTGCCCCAGCGTCTGGGCCAGGGTCACTGCCATGGCCCCCATATTGTCGTACTTGGGGTGAGAAATATGGAGCACAAAGATGTTTACATCCCTCCCAAAGGCACAGGGCTCATGCCCTCAGCCCTCCCACCCCTACCCCAGCTGTGCCCCCACACTGCTCACCTCATTCACACCCCCACCCCTGGACAGAGAGCAGATGCCTCCCACGTAGGCAGCCCCACTACTGGTGCTCTGGAAAGTCCTGCCCCTGCAAGGGAGAGGGTTGTCAGGAAAACCTCCTGCCCTTCCCAGAGTGGCTCCCATGGGCTGTGCGGGGCAGACAGGGAGCCTCCCCAACTAGAGCCCCGCCTCGGGGAGGTCAGTATTGCCCTTCACACCAGCCTGTGTGATCTCAGGCAGACCCGTTCCCCTCTGTGGGTTTGTTTGCCCATCAGACAAATGAGAGGGTCTCATTAGATCATCTGTAATTGCAAGGACCTTGTATCAGATTCGTGCCCCTCCCCCCCGCCCCCAGGAAGGGATGCTGGGACAGTTTGAAAAGGGAAGAGCAAACGAGGGGGAGGAGGTGGGCAGAAGTGACCAGAGATAGGGAAAAGGGGCATCAACTTAAGATGCAGGGGAGGATGCCAGCCTGTTGCAAGGGGCTGGGGGCAGGTACAAGATAAGACCGACTAGTCCCAGACCCCGCATGATCTCCTGGCACAGAGCAGGTGTTCAGTAGCCCCAAGCACCGCAGACACCAGCAGAGGCTGGCAGGATGCATGGGGTGGGGGACTCACGAGAAGAGGTGGGTGGCATCGCTGGGCTCAGGCAGGCCCTCCCGCCGATAGACCATGAGACGAGCCAGGGTCTCCAGGAGGTCATCCTGCACCTGGATCTTGTCCCCGTCTGCCCACGTTTCCATGGCAACCAGCACTATCCGGGTATTGAGCTGTTCCTTGTACATCTGGGCCCAGATGGGAGAAGATGGGGAGAAAGCTGGAGGGTGGGAGTGGGTGTGGGGGGAATAAGGCTGGAGGAGGGCTTCAGTCTGTGCTTCCAGGAAGTGGGGTTCAGTGGCTGGTAGTGCCCTCGACGGCTCACCCCGAGGATATATGTGGCTGGTGGGGGGTTTGGGGTGAGCGGGAGGGGAAGGCGGGTTGCTCACCACATCAGCCAGGTTCACCACGGACTTGGCAAAGTTGCTGGTGAGGACCACGGACTGTCGCATCTGCTCAAACTGGAGGAAGAGCAGTGGAGGGCA